AGAGCTCTGAAATTTACTTATATTGTTATCGTCTGGAATCATATATAGGTACATCTTTTTCTAGTGGAGAAGATGAAACTCCGGTTGAAACCTACAGTTTCTCGTGTCTATGATTTGTTATGGCTTTGTTTTGGATTGTACAAGGCTAGAAATGATTGTGTTATCTTTCAAGGCTGCTCTGGTTGCTCTGGTTTACATGACTTGGTTATGTTAAACGTGATACTCTTGGCTAATTTACTATCCTTTGGGGTTGTTATCCTCGAATTATACAGTCTTGAGGGGCCTGCATGTCGCCTTTGCAGTGAATTTTCTTATTTCTGTTTTACTTACGATTTTCGTCACTTATCTTTTGTGTTTTTGACATCTTTATTTAGTTTGAGAATCAACATTGAGCATCAAGCAAATGATATATTACTTCAGGCAGTATACTGTTGAAGATAAACATGAAGTTAACTTAGGAGTCAAGTTATGTTTATCCTAAGTGTATTAGGATTAGATTTGAGTCTATCCTAATGAGTTTAGGAAAATCGATAACTATATAAGGTGTTGCAAGAGTTTGCAAACTCTCTAAGGGTTTTAGAGATTGTGTTGCGATTTAAGGTTTTGTGAGTGTTTCCTTAAAGAGTTAATATAAAGAGAGTTCTTTATCAATCTGAGTTTACATACAATCTTTTAAAACAATATTTGGTATCAGAGCTAGAGGAAGAAGATAACCATGGGAGACATAACAACAGCTATCGTGGTAAAACCTAAAGAAAAGGGAACAACTGCGGTCAATGTTCCGATGCTAAACAATACCAACTATACTGTATGGGCAATACGCATGAAGGTCTTGCTTAAAGTTCATAAAGTATGGGAGGTAGTGGAGAATGAATCGGACGATGTAGATAAAAACAACTCGGCGACAAACTTGGTGTTCCAAGCCATCCCGGAAGCTTTAATCCGCCAAGTTGGAGAATTAGAAACTACTAAGAAGATTTGGGACGCCATCAAGGCTCGTCATGTTGGTGCAGACAGAGTTAGAGAGGCGAGATTACAGACTCTTATGGCTGAGTTCGATCGCATCAAGATGAAAGATAGGGACAGCATAGATGACTTTGTGGGAAAGTTGACTGAGATCTCATCTAAATCAGCAGCGTTAGGAGTAGTGATGGAGGAATCTAAATTAGTGAAGAAGTTTCTTAAAAGTTTGCCAAGGAAAAACTTCATTCATATGGTTGCATCATTAGAACAACTCCTTGACCTAAATACAATCAGCTTTGAAGATGTCATTGGGAGATTAAAAACCTTTGAGGAACGCATAAAAGAAGAAGAAGAAGATAACCAAGACAATCAACAAAGTAAACTGATGTATGCTAATACAGAAACTCAAAGCAGAGAGACTATCATGGTGTTTACAGAGGAAGGGGTCGTGGAGGTAGAAACTACAACCGAGGTAGAGGACGAGGAAGATCTTATTGGGACAGTCGTGATGCTTCTAAAGTGATATGTTTTAGGTGTGACAAGATGGGTCACTTTGCTGCATCATGTCCTGATCGTCTATTGAAACTCGCTGAAGCTCAAGAATCCAAAGAAGATGAGACTCAAGAAGCAGAAGGTTTGATGATGCATGAAGTGGTTTATCTCAACGAAAAAAATGTGAAACCTAAGGAGTTTGAGTCAAGCATGGATGGTGATAAGATATGGTACTTGGATAATGGTGCTAGCAACCATATGACAGGTAACAAAAGCTACTTCACACGTCTTGATGAAAAAATTAAAGGAAAGGTGAAGTTCGGTGATGACTCAAGAATTAGCATCAAAGGAAAGGGTTCTGTGATGTTTGTCACTCAATCAGGTGAAAAGAAACTTCTGTCTGATGTCTACTTCTTGCCAAAGTTAAAATCAAACATTATCAGTCTTGGTCAAGCAACAGAAGCTGGGTGTGATGTGAGAATGAGAAGTGATTATCTCACATTACATGAGAAGGAAGGAAAGTTGATTGTGAAAGCTAACAGATCCAGGAATCGCTTGTATAAAGTGTTGATGGAACTAGGGAACGAAAGGTGCTTAAGGATAGAAGTGCAAAGTGATTCAGCAAGATGGCATGCGAGGTTGGGTCACATAGGAGTAGAATCGATGAAGCTAATGATAAAGGATGAATTGGTCATTGGGATACCGAAGATTGAGATAGAAAGAGAAACATGTGAATCATGCTTGCGCAGCAAGCAAGCTAGACAGGCCTTTCCACAAGCCACCAAATACCGAGCTCAAGAACGACTGAAACTTATTCATGGAGACCTCTGCGATCCCATTTCACCGGCTACTGCAGCAAATAACAAGTACATATTCGTACTTATAGATGATCACTCACGCTACATGTGGACCGTTCTGTTAAAGGAAAAAGGAGATGCATTCGAGAAGTTCAAAGTCTTCAAGGCAAAGGTAGAACATGAAACAAGAACAAGCATCAAAACGTTTAGAACTGATAGAGGTGGGGAGTTTACGTCTACTGAATTTACAAAGTTCTGTGAAGCAAGCGGCATACAGAGACATCTAACTGCTCCATATACTCCACAACAAAATGGTGTTGTGGAGAGACGCAATAGAACTCTGCTAGAGATGACCAGAAGTATACTAAAGCACATGAATATGCCTAACTATCTTTGGGGGGAGGCCGTACGACATGCCACATATCTTATCAACCGAGTTGGGACACGGACTTTGGTTTCACAGACACCATACGAAGCTTTCAAACTGAAGAAACCAAACATCAAACATCTCAGAGTATTCGGATGCATAGGTTATGCAAAAATTGAGGGACCACACCTAAGGAAGCTAGATGATAGATCACGAACTCTTGTACATTTGGGAACGGAACCAGGGTCCAAAGCTTACAGAATGCTTGATCCCACCAGCAAAAGGATAATAGTAAGCAGGGATGTACTGTTTGATGAACACAAAACTTGGAAGTGGAACAACTCAAGTGAAGAAACAGAGGAACCAGGAAGGTTTAAAGTTAACTTGGGAACGTATGGAAACCAAGGTATAAGCTATGCTGATATTAAGGAAACAGAGGACCAGGAAACTGAGACAATTGTTAAGGCCGAGGACATAATTGAAGTCTCATCATCAGAAGACATCAACACCGAGGAAGTAAACTTGTGAAGATCAACAAGAGTCACGAGAACCCCTGATTACTTAAGTGATTACATATGCTTAGCAGAAGCTGATGGAGAAAGATTATTGTTAGCTTTGAATGAAGAACCCTGGGAGTTTAAAGATGCAATAGTAGAGAAGGTATGGAAGGATGCTTGTGAGGATGAAATAGCGTCTATTGTCAAGAATCATACATGGGAGTTAGTTGACTTACCAAAAGGAGCTAAAGCAATAGGACTAAAGTGGATATTCAAGATCAAACGGAACTCAGACGGAAGCATAAGCAAATACAAGTCCAGACTAGTAGCCAAAGGATACATTCAGAGGCATGGAACAGATTTTGAAGAGGTTTTTGCACCAGTAACACGCATTGAGACTGTGAGGTTTATAATAGCACTTGCAGCCTGCAACGGTTGGCAAATACACCATCTGGATGTCAAGACTGCGTTCTTGAATGGAGACCTAAAAGAGGACGTATACGTTGAGCAACCAGAGGGGTTTGTGGTCAGTGGATGCGAGAAAAAGGTATATAAGCTTAAGAAGGCATTGTATGGGTTGAGACAAGCTCCAAGAGCTTGGAATGAAAAGCTTAACAAGGTACTTGAGGAGTTAAGATTCACTAAATGCTCAAAGGAAGCTTCACTGTACCGGAAAAGAGTTGGAGATACACTACTTCTTGTTGCAGTGTATGTGGATGGCCTACTTATCACTGGCTCAAGTGTATCTATGATTGAAGGTTTCAAGGAAGAGATGTCCAATATATTTGAGATGAGTGACCTCGGACTGCTATCATACTATCTAGGAATCGAGGTTGTACAAAGTGAAGAAGGAATCACACTAAACCAAGGAAGATATGCAACCAAAATCCTACAAGAAACAGGCATGGATGACTGCAACGCGGTTCATATACCAATGGACGCTGGACTAGTGTTATCAAAAGCACCAGAAGAACAAAGTGTAGATGAAAAGGAGTTCAGAAGGAATATAGGATGCCTACGGTACCTTCTACATACTCGTCCTGACTTAGCTTTTAGTGTTGGACTCTTAAGTCAATACCTAAGATACTTTTAGTGGAGCCTAAGACCTCTCACGCAGCAGCATTAAAACAGATCCTAAGATACTTAAAGGGGTCTGCTTATTATGGTCTTGTGTTCAGACGATCAAACAAGATGGAGCTATTTGGTTTCAGTGACAGTAGCCACAACATAGACGAAGATGATGGGAGAAGCACCACGGGGCATGTGTTCTACCTAAACCAATGCCCCATTACTTGGTGCTCACAGAAGCAAGACACAGTTGCATTGAGTTCCTGCGAGGCTGAGTTTATGGCCGCCACTGAGGCTGCGAAACAGGCCATATGGTTACAAGAACTCTTGGAAGAGATCACTGGAAAGTCATGCAGAGGAGTGACGATATGCATTGACAACAAGTCAGCTATAGCACTAACAAAGAACCCGGTCTTCCATGGGCGAAGCAAGCACATACACAAGAGATATCACTTTATAAGGGAGTGTGTTGAGAATGAGCAAGTGGAGGTTCAGCATGTACCAGGGGTGGATCAAAAGGAGGATATCTTAACCAAAGCATTTGGGAGGATTAAGTTCAAAGAAATGAGAGAACTAGTTGGAGTACAAGACTTAGTTAACTTCAAGTTTAAAGGGGAGAATGTTGAAGATAAACATGAAGTTAACTTAGGAGTCAAGTTATGTTTATCCTAAGTGTATTAGGATTAGATTTGAGTCTATCCTAATGAGTTTAGGAAAATCGATAACTATATAAGGTGTTGCAAGAGTTTGCAAACTCTCTAAGGATTTTAGAGATTGTGTTGCGATTTAAGGTTTTGTGAGTGTTTCCTTAAAGAGTTAATATAAAGAGAGTTCTTTATCAATCTGAGTTTACATACAATCTTTTAAAACAATATATACAAAGTAAATCTCACACAATAACAAATATACACAAACTTTTTCCACAAAGCAATGACCAAACAAATAGTTTGAGAGGTAGAAGGATGCATAAATCAAATCACATAAGGATAAATACAAATAAAAGAACAATGAAATCAGTAGAATCTGAGAGCTACGAGGCTGACGACAAGGAAGAGAAGGGATGGTGAGAAAGCATAGGAGGACGAAGGAGTAAGAGAATTAGGTCGACTAGTGCTTCCTCCGTCATCAGACGTAGGAGCAGCACCGTCCACGGTTGGTGTAAAAGGTCTAGTTGCATCTGACTGTGGTGTCTGAGCTGCTGGAGTAGGCTCTGGAACAATTGGAGTTGTTGCTGGACTTGGAGACATGGCTGGTCCAAATGTACCAGCAGGTCCTATATATTCCAAACCAAAAATAAATAAATGCTTACCAATTTATGATCCAAGAAGTAATTATGTGTGATTAACTGAGAGATGATATGTGATTTTGATTCTTACCAGGAGCAGCAGCTGGAGCAATATTAGCTTTGCACTGAAGAGGAACTCTAGGCATGTTACAAGCACGTGGAAGAGAGACGGCGGTTGTACGGTTAATCGGAATATTAAAAGGAACACTTCCGGTGACAATAAGACAGAGACATCCCATTCCTCCCGTAGTTAAAGACCTCAACGAGTTACAACAATCAGCGGAAGGTGAAGTTCCGTTGGTACTGCTGTTGGTTAAAATGCTCATACAAGGTCCCACGGTGGTCATCATAGACGGTGTACATTGGCTAAGTGGCGGTTGCTGACTGCGAACCGGCAAAGCAAGCACTGCGAGTAAGGCCACAACAACGGTTATAACCGGGATCTTCGACATTGTTAATTGGTTAAAGCTTTGTTTGTTGTCCTTTAAAGGTTTGTGTTTGAAGTGTATTGTGATAATGAAAAAAAATGGGAGTTGTTTTATAGGTAAACAAAAGAGGAGGGAACGAAGTAAGTGTGTATAGGTCAACAACTTTAACTAACTGTGTTTTTTTTTTTCGTTAATAGAATCGTTAGTTAGTGAGTTGGCAAATGGGATGCGTACACGTGTGCAGAATGTAGTAGGCAGCTGCCTAACTCGTCTCGGGATTGTATTAGACGAACTACTCTCTCCCCATGGTTGTTTATGTTTTCTATAAATTAATTATAATTACATAACTAAAATACAAATATAATGCTAAAACCCAATTTTAAGAGCATCTGTTTCTTGAGTCTTTCATGCATTCAATATTTATTTAAGAATTAAATTAAAAATACAAAAACTTATACCAATTTAAATATGACAAATTTAGATAGAAGCTTTTTTCTTTTCAATTGTTTTATCTTTCCCATTTCTTTTCTTTTTCTTTTCAAATGTGTTTTCTATCTTACTTTATCCATTTATTATATTATGAATTGTAAGAATTGCTTTCATTTAAAGATTATTTTTAATGTACTTTGTTATTTTTTCTAAAATAAAGAAATATTGTAACAGAAATGAAATTTACTCGAATATCTTTTTTTTCTAAATTAGCAATCTCTAACGTTTATAGCTGCAAAACCATAATCATAACATGTCTTTACTATATGAAAACTTGTCATTCATTCGTGTCAGAGCCGTGCGAACGTTTATAGCTGCAATAAGCGATTAAAAATATTTTACAATAACTTTGGTATTAAAAAGAATATGTAATGATTTTATTATTAATTATTTAATAGCCGCCATATAAGTTAAACTATCAAACAAAATAATATTTACAATAAAATGTTTATCAAATTTTAGCAATCAAAATTTTAATTGATTTTGTAACTAATTCTTTTATAGATAAACTAACTAAATCAGTCAAGGTTTTTTATGTAATACTCAAACCAAGGTAAAATTTATCCTTTTTAGCATTAAAAATATTTCAGAAAAACACTCTTAACTATTCTATTTTGTTATAACAACTGTCATCATTTTGTTATTCAAGAACTCAAGTTCTTCATCATCACATAAACTTATGCTTCTTCTAATTATATTATGCCCTTGGTCTTTACATAAGTAAAAAATGATGTCTTCAAATTTTTTAATAATATATGTTGCCATAGGCGAATGTTTCATCTTTTTTATATTGAGGCACGTCTCTGATTCATGCTTGCTAATTTTTTTCTTAGTTTCAGTATTGTTTTATTCTGGTCTTCTTAGTAATATTTTCTGTACGTTCCAGCATCGAACTTTCCTTTAACTGAAAACACGGCAAACTAAAACAATCACAACTTTGAAACATATATTAATCTAGAACGTCAAAAGACTTGTAAAAGATGATGTCCTAGCCTGAGATTTTCGGCCCCTATTGAGTCAAGTCAAATAAAATACAATAAATTAATGAGCTCAAAAAGAAACTAAAAATAAAAAGAATACAAAACAGTCAATTATATACCAATTACCAGAACTCTGAATACCTTAATCAAATAATCATGGAAGTAGTTCAGCAACCCAGAGACTAAAGACCGCCACAAAGAGACTAAAGACCGCCACAAAGACCACTGACCCAAAACAACGGAATCAGTTATGTTCACAACACAACACAATACGTCGTGTCTGAACAAATCAACACAAATACTTTAACAGAAACTGTTAGAAAAGTAGGAAAAGGTTGGCCACCAAAATCAAGTCATCACTTTTTTTCATTTTCAAGTTTCAACTTCCTAAATTCCTTATTTATATCCTTCATCAGGACTCCACAAATACAACCAAACAAACACAAAGCAACCCAACAAAACAAAACTCAAAAGGATTCTCATCTCTTCAAACACATCTCTAAAGAAAACATGAAAATGGGAATGGCTTTAATGTTGCTTACAGTATTCATGGCTGTGATGTCTTCTACAAGAGTCTCTGCTCAGTCAGGTTGCATGAACGCATTGGTCAGCATGTCACCATGTCTCAACTACATAACCGGAAACACTACCTCCCCTTCTCAGCAATGCTGCAGCCAGTTGGGTAACGTAGTCCAGTCTTCTCCTGACTGTTTATGTCAAGTCCTCAACGGTGGAGGCTCTCAGCTTGGGTTGAACATTAACCAAACACAGGCTCTTGCTTTGCCAAGGGCTTGTAATGTTCAGACTCCTCCTATCAGTCGCTGTAACAATGGTATGATATTTTTTTAAGTACTTAATGATGATTGTTCACTTGTGAATCTTATGGAGTATGATTACACTATTTGCAGGTGGTGGTTCTAATGCTGACTCTCCTGCAGATTCACCAAAATATTCAGGTAAAGGATTTTAAATAGATGTAATGAAAACCACAGAAACTCAATATATCCTCTGTTATTTAATGAATCCATCTTGGGGGTCTTTGTTAGGACCAGGAAATGGATCCAAAACCGTACCAGTAGGAGAAGGAGACGGACCATCGTCTGATGGAAGCTCTATCAAGTTCTCATTTCCTCTTCTAGCCTTCCTCTCAGCGGCTTCCTACATCGCAATCTTCTTGAACTACTGATTTTTTCTTGGATGAGTTTTTATGCCACTTAGATTGCATTCTTTATTTATTCACATTTTGTTGTGATATTCTGTGATGTATTATTTCATGCTCCCTGAGTCCATACTCTCTGTCTGATATTGGTTTGTAGAAACGGGGAGCAGTTGGATCTCTTTACTTTGTACAATAAATATTATTTTTACACACTAAAGAACAGAACATTAGATATCTGAATAAATATTGGTTTAGATGGTAGCAATCTAAATATTTTTGGGTTCAAACTTAAGACCGAGATATGGTAGACACTAGGATAAGCTCATAATGTTGGATATATGAGAAAATATATTTAGTGTGATGATCGTTTGCTCATCCAGGTCATCTATCTTGATGAATTTATAAACTGATATTCGTTTAGTTCATTCAAACAAGATTTTGACCATTCAACTATGTATTCAAATCTCAGCTCAAGTTCTCATCAAAATACGGGTGCATTTTATAGACCATAAAATGATATTTTTTCAAATGATTTTCTTTAAATTTAGTACCACAAAATACATATTTATTCAAAATTGAAAATCACAGTTTTCGCCACGAAACTATTTAAAATTTATCTAAATCTAATTTTATTTTCATAGTGTATTTTATTGTTCCAAATTTTCTTTCTATAATTTTTTAGTTAGACACTTAATTATTTTTTTGTAATTTTTTAAGTTAGACACTTAATTTTTTGGTTTCAAGGACGGTCCTAGTCTTTAACCGGCATTGTTTCCATCTATATTCTTCACCACTATCTTTCGATTGGTGACTTCTCCATGAAGCCCGGTTTGGGAGATGGTATAGCTACGTCAATGGTGAATGTTAGGGTAATTTTGGGCATGTACGTTGTTAATACACTACAAGAAAACACGTCATTTACTAGGACGGGTTTTCCTCGTTATTTCCTAGTAAACGGCCCTTTACTAGGAAATAACGAGGAAACGTGTTTCGTCGAAAGACGTTCATCGTAAAGCCTATTTTTCTCGTAATTGCCTAGCTAATTTACGAGGAAAAGTTTCCTCGTAAGTACGTACTACGAAAACCTGAAGTGCGCAAGTAATAAGAAAGAAGAGAGATCAAAAGTCTTTCAGGCTGGAACTACGAAAAATGATGTATGAACTCTAGTTCTAGTCGCCTAGCTCCAAATTATAGTATAGAATAGTCGGTCCTTTGTTCTAGGGTTTGGTCTCTCTTATATAAGTTGTTTGTAGTAAGAAACTAGGTTAAAGAGTTCCATATTTAGAAATACGGAAGAATCTCCTTTAGTAGAAGTTTTCTATTTTCCAAGAGGAGGTATGTAGCCGGGTCTGAGTCGGGATGTCTCTAGAAAGGGATTGAAGGTCGGCGTTCTACTTGGAAGCATGAGTAATATTTTCCTAGATTACTTATCCTCAACAATTTGTCCCTTATTTTTAGATCTTATAGGTGAAATCGGGAGATAACCTGTCCACTTTGGTAGACGGAAATTGTTTTCTCAGCAGGTTTATCATGAACGTAACATCACTACTTTAGTGCCTTTCTCAGATTGTTTTGGCCAGGACCATGTATAAGCTCAAGAGTAGAGATCTAGTTGTAAATAGTTGAAGAATGGTTGCTTTTTTACAAGCATTTCAGGCCCGGAGCCTGATGAGATCAATTAATCTTGCAGGATATGTGATTTTATTATCGCATTTCAGTGGATGACGATACTCGTTTCTTGGCTTGGACTTGTTGTAACATACCCTTCTAGTGGTCTGATTCGGGTGGAACATAGCCTAATCAAATGAAGAAATCATTGTTGTAATGCAGTGGGTACTCGATTTCCTTGGTTTAGTCGATGGTTCCTAGTCTGAACCAGGAATTCTGAGTAGCCAAATCTTCTATGTAAATTAATCTCAAATCCAGATTGGTCAAATAGTAGCAATGTTGTTCTTAGTAGGAATCAAATCTAGGACAGATGGGTTTACGTCGTAGCTAACTCTTTTATCACTAGACTACTATTGTTTGGTTCAATCATGTATATTTGATCTCTTAACCCCCATATAGTGCTGGGAAGCGGGTCTGATCCGCCCCACGGCGGATTGCTGTTTTTTTTTAATAGAAAACTTGACCAGCGTTACCGCGGATAAAATTGAGTATATCTGCATCCGTCCCCCTTGAGTTAGCGAGTAATCCATGAGATCCACATGCCAAAAATTTAAATAAAATAACATTTTTTCTATCTTTTAGTTCAAAATAATTTTTGATAGTATAGATCATACATTAATAACAAAATACATATTACTAAAATATATAATTAATTTTGTTTATTATATTGATTTATTATTTATAATTAAAACTGATATTTTCTGTTTTAAATTTAAATTTTGCGAGTAGACGGATATCCACGTGTTTAAATATGTTAATCCACACCCGCTTCACGGTGGGTCAAGTAGTTCAGCACCCGTGGATTTTGATTCATTTTCCCAGCTCTAACTCATTGCACATAATCTATTCACAATGAAAATACAATAGCTAGACTTTTCTGAGCAACAACATTAGCTATAACTATGTGATTTAATACAAACTAGGTGGAAAAAGAGATTATAATGTTTATTCTATAGATATTAAAAACCGTAAAAGTCATAATCATAACTAATACATCTTATATAATGAAAGATGTGACGAAATGGTGCATGTTTATATAAGGTAAGCTTCATTTTTTCAAAAAAAAACTTATGTTATTGATTAGGTGTAACTGAAGTATATTTTGTGGAAGGAAATCTATAAATATAAGCAAAGACATATTTAAAATTAGTTATGAATTTAAGATAAAACGAAACATAGCCAATAGAATTATTGCTTTCATAATATGAATTCTGAATATAAAATAAAAAGAAACATAGGCAATGGAAAGAATATATAATAGATTTCAATTTGATAAATGAATGGTCCATAATGCACATAATATATAATATAATATTCCATAGAATTTAATTTTAGGCTAACAGAATTCTCAATTAATTTGTCAAATTGCCAGGTAAGTAAAATTGGCATTCCAATTACATGACAACTCAGCAAGACAATTCTTTGATTAATACAAATTACATGTTATAACTTTTCAAATGTTTATCCTTTAATACATAAGGAATTATAGAGTTTTTCTATTTAAGAACATTAAATAGGAAAATACCTTTGCGATATTATCTACATTAGAGTTTTTCTTAAGTTATCTATATTCCTTTTAGAGCGATTTACATCATAAATACACAAAGACTGTGAAATTTGCAGATATGGAAAAGTAGTCAGTCCAAAGGCAAGACCCAGTTTCTGAGAGGGCAAAAAGACGACGATGACCCTATTGCTCGTTTCTCTTACATAATGAAACGAAAAATATTTGCAATGATGGCATGCATGTAATGATTACGAAAGCTATATATACGACGGACCATTTATGAAACTCTAGGTCTCTATCTAAAAATAGCCATACAAACTGACCATCAATAGCACCTAGAAAATGTAAACCTTTCTGCCAGTTGAACACGAGTAACAAGCTGATATGCATGTTCTGTAAACAGTAACGATGTGTGTATTTGTTTTGCTCTATATAACAAGTGTTGGTCTGTGAGTAAAACACAAACCATAACTATCACTTTCTTACAAAATCGTCTTTAATGGCTTTTTAAGGTTCTCCTCATCACTCTAGTTTGGAGATATAATATCAGGTCAGTTACGTTGAGCATTTAAGTCGTATCTATGTTGTTTCGGCCGTTCATTTTGTATTTATGATGGATGCATGTCGTTCTTAACCATGTCTATATCTTAAAAACCTTCTTTATCTCAACATTCTTCTTGCATGCAGTCATTTGCTTTGTCATTACACTTTATTTAATAAAAAAATTATTTTCAGATGGGGAAGTTTGTGAGGCTTTGGTGTGGGGAGTGGCTCAAGGAAGACAACGGTGCTTGGAATTTTCATGCTGCTCCTACTGACTTTGGATTTGGGGCGATGATAAGACACAATGAAACTTATGAGTCTTTGTTGAACGTTGTGCGGATGAGGTACATGGTGGGACAAGAGACTCATGTGTTACTGTCTTACCAGTTTCCGTCATGGATTCTCGGGCCACTTGGGAGGCGATCTGTGCCGATTACCATCTCAACAACCGCTGACATACCAGTCATGCTGAGTGTAAGGAAGTGGTTCACCCAGCTTGTTCTCGTTGTGACCTTAGGAGCTGAGAGCGTCGCTAGATTCCATTTCAACCGGAGGGACAACTTCGTTGTCGGCCGAAAGCGGTTTCTTGTTGACGGGAGTCAAGACGAGTATGCGAGAAGAGAGTATCAAAGTAAGTGTTGGGACTTTTGTTTTGCATGATTGTTTTTGATTAATTTCTAACGATATGTGGCACTTTATTCAGGGCTCGTGGTTGGGAGAAGGATGACATGCAGCAGATCCATATTGGAGGAAATTTTTAATGAGCAGGAGATGATGGTCCTGCATAGGGTTCATCTTGAGATGGACTAGGCTGACACATTCCAAGAACAAACTGAGCAGCGCTACGAAGCTGTTGCTCGCGAAGTGATATTGGTGGAAGACGACGATGAAAACATGACTGATGCACAACCAGGTACATGTTAGTTTTGGTAGTTCGAAGCTGTACTGGTTCTTTAATAACATAAATATATCCAGCTAAACGGTATCGTTTTACCGTTTACGATTCCACATTGCCGGTTAATATATATATATATATATATATATATATATATATATATATATATATATATATATATATATATATGTTGTTCACGTTAAAACAGGTGAGGCAACGATCAGGCACCCAATCCAGAACCGTCGCGATTGCCGCGTATCCAGGCACCTACGGCCCCGTCTAATTCAGAAGCTGTAACGGAAGGTGAAGTTCATTTGAATTGTTGGCTGCATGTTATGATGTGCATATTATTCGGCTATGTCTATATATGTCGTCCAAGATCTAAATTAACCGGATATTTATGTTGATTTGATAGGGGCTTGCCACTTACACAACAAGCTCCAGCTCTACCAGAATCAACAATGAATCCAAGTGAGAGCAAAATTGTCCGGCGATGGACAATGGAGACGCCAATGGATTTTTGGGAGAGTCTGATGGGTGATGACCTTGTTCTGCCTAACGGAGTGGAGCAAGATCGGGCCGTATTGGAGGGTGAAGGACGCGCGAACGAGACAATATGCCTTGTA